TTCATATTAAGCTTTAATAATATTATTAATATATTAATTAAATAATATAATAGTGCTTTAAAATTATTATTATTAAGATATTAATTCCCTTTTATCTTTATTTAAATAAAAGAAATATTATTCTAAATTATCTATTTTAATTAAACCCTTAATAATTAGCTTATTAATACTTTTATTATTATTATTACTTTCTTTATTATTATTAATAATTTACATAATCTTCTAAGGAATCGATTAAGTTCTCTTTACTAAATAATTAAAGGCTAGAGCTAGAATAGAGCGCTTAATTAATCCCTTTAGAATAATAATAGCCTTAGAAATAAGGGTTTAAGCTATTAATACTTCTTTAAGAGCTTTAGGATTATTAGCGATATAATAGAGCTCCTCTTAAGCTTTATAGATATAAGCTTTAATATTAATTATTTTCTTCTCCTTAATAGTTATAAGCTTAATAGCCTTCTCTATTACTTTATACTCTTTTACCTCTTTCTTCTTTATAGTTATAGCGTCTTTCTTAATAATAATATTCTCTTTCTTATTTATAATAAAAGCTATAATTATTTTAATATTCTTTAAGATATAAGATAATAATTAATTAATAAAGGTATAGCTTAAGTAATAAGTACTTTAAAGATATAAATAAATAGGATTATCGCTATTAAAGGTATTTATTAATAGATTAATAAGCTTAAAGTTAATAGGAAGTTTAGAATAGCTATAGACTAGCTTAATTATATCCTCGCTATTTAAAGGGTAATTATATAAATCGATATATAAATAGAAGAAAATAAATTCGAGGATATTAACTTCTTAATAATAAATAATATATTTAAATTAATAAATAATAATAGCTTCTTTAAGGGCTTTATAACCTAGAGGCTAAACCTATTAAAGAAGACTTAGTTAATAAAAGGATATAAAATAAAGGGCTAAGAAACTATAGATTAATAAAGCTAGAGAAATAATAGCGAATATATAGAAGATATCTTAATAAGTAGATATTATATAATTAATAAAAAGGAACTTAAAAATTTAAATATAATTTATAATATTATAGAAATAGCTATTATTAATTAAAATAATAACGATTTCTAATATTTTCTTAAAATATTTAATTACTTTAGCGAAATAAAAGAGATAATAAATATACTATTTCGATAAATAATTATATAAGATTATACCCTTAATAATATATATTTAATTATAAACCTCCTATTAAATAAATTAAATAACCCTATAAAGGGGCTTAAGGATCTATAATTATTAGCTAATATAGCTAAAAGCTTTAATAAACTTATAATAAGATAAGCGCTTTTATTAAATTTATAAATAATATATTTAATATTAGAATAATTAATTATATATTTAATATCTAGCTAAGAAGCGAGTTTACTAAAGTAGTATTTATATAAAGGGTTCTTAGCCTTAGTATTAAGAAGCTAATAATTATAAGCCTAAATAAGTTAAGGATTATATAAATATACTTTATTAAAATAGAGAATAATATCTAATATAATAATAATTAAATAAAAGCATTAAAATAATTAAAATAAATATAAGATTAATAGATAATATAAGGATATAATAATTATAATAATATTAATTATTAAAAAGAAGCTAAAGATAATAAGATCTAAGAGAATTATAAATATAATAAAGAGAACCTTATAAAATAAATATAATAAACTATTACTTATAAATTAATAATAGGGACTATTCTATATTATTACTTACTTCTAGGCTATTATTAGTATTATTATTATAATAATTTCTATAATATATCTAACCTAGCTCTATATTATAATTACACTAAGGAATAAGGCCTAAGATTAGGGCACTAAGATATATTAATAAAGGCATTACGAGTTCTAGGGACTAGACCTCTAGGAGGGGAGGTAATATAAGGAGTTAGACGTTAAGAACCTAACCCTTATTCGTATTATCGTAGATACTTTAACGTTAAGCCTAAGTTTAAAAGGAGAAATCGAGGCTATACTCGATAGCTTCGATAAATTAAAGTTAATATAATAGCTTATTAATTATTTATTAATCTAATTACTTTCCCTAATCTAGGCCCTTAGCCTAATACCTTTATATATCGCTAATACCTTAATAATAAGGTCTAATTTAAAAGTAGAAATCAAGGCTAAACTCGATAGCCTTAATGAGTTAAAGTGAATATAATAGCTTATCTATTATTCGCTAATCTATCTACTTTCCCTAGTCTAGGCCTATAGCCTAATACCTTTATATATAGCGAGACCTAGGGGCTTAGGGGCTCGCCCCTATTAGCTACTACTATAGGGATTATAATAACGTTCTTCTAGTAGTCTAGTTACTCGCTCGCTCTACTTAGGTCCCTCTAATAACTTATTTTAGGGGCCGGGTATTTCAGAGCAAGTGTTAGAGGTTAGAAACTTATATATTTTAATATAAAATTACTAATCCGTCTTTTTATCGCCCTATTATACTTTACCTTCTCAGCCTGCCACATAAGCAGGGTCTAAAGCTACCTGACCGAGTATTAAAACTTGTGCCTCGAATTGTATAGATTCCTAAGGAATCATCGACTCTTCATATACTACTAGGTATATTCATATAATACTGCACTAGCTAAACTATAGACAAATAGAACTCCAGTTCCCCCAAAAAGTCAGAATGTAGGAAACCTCCTAGTCGCTGGTTGACTGACCCAAAGCCAAGGTCTTCCAGTGATCACGTTCCGCCTCCAACTTGCGAATCTTCTCCTCCAGATCCTCGAACCGCTGCATTTTACGCTCCCTAGACTTGCGGGCTGCCAGAGTGTTGCGAGCGCGTTTCATCGCTACAACGTCATCTGGATTCTCAACAACGATGGGTGGCAGGGGCTTGTCTCGCTTCCTCGCGTTGACGCCAGCCACTGACGAGTGCCGCCCAGAAGCAGGCGAGCCACTCGATTTACGGCGAGGGCACTCGCTTACCGTGCTGTTCTGGACTCTGTCCCCGAGCGGCTGTTCCGCCCCCGTTGTCTCGACACTCGCGTTCTGGTCAGGGAAAAGTGAGAACCACTGGCTGCCGGCCACATCATATTCTCCCGAGCTTCCAAAGTTTGGCGACACGTCATAGCCATCCATATATTCTGGCGATTCGAACGGCGAAGGCGACGTCAAGGCTGTGAATGCCGTTGAGTTCGGCGCAGACATGTATGGATCCTGGATTAAGAGGTCCTGTGGGGAAACAGTACCGATGTTGTGGGATCCACTCGGCATATCGAACACGGAAGGCGCGCTGGGCGACGAGTAGGCAGTCGATGCCCCACCCTCGAACCCGGTGAATTCTTCGAAATCTACAGGCAATCATGTGAGCTGATGTATAACTAGATCAATCCCTTTCTTGGGCACTCACCCGCGATGTTCATGTTCGCAGAATCAGGTTGCGGAATGCTGGGTGTGCTCTCTGCGAATAGTGGAACTGGTGGGCGAACTAGTCGCAAAGTTTGACGTGAGCTTCCAGACGTGTTTTGATCTGAACCGCGTGTTGATCCGGCGATGTTGGCAGAGGAGGGACGATCCGAGGGACTTAAATTGAGATATCCGTTTCCAGCAGCAGATAGTTGCGATTTCGATTGAATGGAGATGCTAGTGTGTTCGGACTGGTGCTGTTGATGAGACGAGTGGCGGCGGTTTGGTAAGCGTAAACCTGTCAGGTTGTGTAGTGCACGTTTAGGCAGGTTGTTGGGATGTGTAGGCTGGTCGAACAAGACAAAGTCCTGCTGCAGAGAGTGACAGGGTGTTTGATGCGCGGATACTGCCGGCAGGCTGGGGGAACTGGAGGGAAGCCATGGTGTAGGTGAAGCCGTGGTGACTGGAAAATCCAGCGTAGAAGTGTTGATGGAGAAGAGTGAACTCTTAGAGCGTGAAGTTGCTTTAAAGTTCAGATCAACCTGTGAAGGTAGAGCTGAAGGATTCAAAGGGGAAAAGGAAGCCTGTGGAGGACCTGCTGGTGGTGGTGGTTTACCGCATGGTGATGGTGTTCTTGCTGATATCTTTTTCTGTGATGTGATGTGATTGTGCTGAGGCAGGAGGAACAATTTTTGAGGGCCGAGTGGGCTGCGGCAGTTTTTGTATTTTTCCCAAGGCAGCAGAGAGACTGTGACAGTGGAGAGGGGGCAGGCCTCGTCCGAAGGGCGCAGACTTGAGTGGGTCTTGACTACCCACCCATCGACCAGGGCTGTTAAAGTTGACATTTTCGTGTTATCGAACAAGTACCTTTACCCCTTAGATGTTGCGACGTGTACTGTGCTTCTCAATCAAATCCGTATTGCTTGACAGACCCACCCTTCTCCGCAGTGTGTGTGCGCCAAACCAAAGCTGTCCAATCTCAGCAGTCTTAGGTGTGACTCACAGTTGCTAGCGCGAAACCAGTCTCCGGTGTACGAAAGTGGATTGGGTTTGGTCAAACAACTCAACCGAAAGATTGGCCCACGAAAAGGCTCTACAGTAGGCTTACTGCCTGATGGCGAGGCATGGGACTGAGAAACCAGGGTGCTCCGTCACTTGGTAGGCCTTTATGATTCCTCGACATCATTTCTTTTTATTTTATTTTTTATTTTTATTTTGGGGGGGGGGTGGTGGAGGTGGGGTCGACCACCTCGGTGTGCTGCACTGCGCCTTGCTGGAATTAAGCACTAAGATTGTGCAGTTAGTAAGCCATACTGCAGTGCCCAAATTTGGCCTCAGTTCTTCGTATGCTCGATAGCCGAATAACAGGAAATACATGTCGCTAATTGAATGACATGATATAGCGAGCTATACATGTAGATGCATATAGCTTACCTACATATTTCATATGGTTTACAGACGTGCCTGCCCTTAATCATGTCCCGATGTAGTGCTTATTTATGTCTCAAGGCAGGCCGTGATTCTTATACGAGGCCACATTTGGAGGAATTAGCTATAGTGACGCAACGCAGCGACTATGCGTCTCCGCTGCCTTCTTTTCTCGTTTCTCTTTGGGCCACGAATACAAACATTACAGTCTATCGCATGGAATCTTGGGGCTACATTGAAAACCAGCCAAGAGCCCTTTCCCTTAGCTTGAGGGCATTGACAGCCTAGGTCTTCTCGCCAGGAGTACCGTGCCAAACGCAGAGACTAAAGAATAAGTAGCATGTCAAGTATAAGAGTCTCCGGGGGACAAGAGCTCGTCCAGGCAAGAGATTGGAACGTTTATGGGCCTAATTACGGTCATGGACCGGGAATCATTTCAATGTATTTGCCTGCCGAATCTCATTATCGACGATGTCCTTCTGTCCATCGCGGAAGTCCTTCATCAGCAGTAGAAACTGCGATTGCTTCCACTTGTCACCTTGTTCATGCTGGACAGTCTGTAGTAGCTGCCGTGCAGCTTCCGAGACATCGGACCTGATTGGTAAGGCATCGGGCGTTTCAGCAGCCCGGTCGTGGTGGTTGACCTCTTCCATCGAGTTCATATTCTGCGTGTTATCCGTTACGTGGAGGCTGGCAATGTCAACTTCGGGCCCCAAACTGCCAGCAGTGGCAGGGTTTGCCAGTGCATCGCGGTGTGATATTCCGACAAGCAAATCATCTTGACCAGTTGCTGATCGTTGCTGGGCATGTGTCTGCCTCTCAACTTCTGCGCGTTCGATATCTTCCAGCTCACGTGCGAGCTTGTCCATCACTGCGTCGACTTGTTGCTCAACCCCAGCACCAAGGTCACCATTTGAAGTCACCCAGTGTCGCATTGCCGTGTCGAACTCGGTATCTCGACCTTTTTCCAAAGGGTTTTCCAAAGGGGTATGTTGGTTGCTATAAACACTCAAGGGCATCATCCCAGACATCGAGAGTGGTGTCTGTCGAGCGATCATCGCCTGGTCTGATAGCACAGGAGAAAAGTTTTGCCCATGCTGGTGATGTTGAATATGTTGAATCGAAGGAGGTGGTGCCATGCCACTCTGAGAAGGAACAATCATTTCCCGCCTGAAGTTGTCAAAGTCCTGCGCCCAGTTGGTTGTTTGAGGAGGCTGGAACGAGTGAGAAATTTCTTGAGGCCGTGCTCCGAAGGCATTAGGCTGCACTGAAATGTGATGTCCGCTATATTCTGTTGTATACGGCGTTGGAAGTTGTTGATTGGGGTTGCCGAGGTATGTGCTGTACGACTGACTTGGGTCCTGCGACATGCCTAGCTGGTTGGATCGGAAGTCCTGTCCCAAGTTTGTTAGTTGTGTAGGACGAAGCGCACCCAAGGAAGTGACCTACGGAGGGGTTAGGAACAGCGCGACGCGCGCGATCTTGTTGCAGGCTTCGATCACGAGCACCTTGCTCCGCAAGCGCCTTCAGCGGGGTTGACCCGCCACAGACATTGTCTGCCATCAGCGTTGAAAAGAAACGTGAAGGATAGACGACCGGATGTATTCCTATCTTGCCGTAAGGTCAACCGCAGGTGGAGTTTCCTTATATAGCCACCTCAGCAAGGTCGGGAATGATACCAATGTCAGATCGCAAGTCTTGTATCAATAAGCCTGCGTGACAAATGGCAGTGGAATTGCTGAATTTCTGCACGTCGAAAAGAAGTGAGCCATGCAAGTGTTGTTTAGATGACAGCTCGTACACATGCGTAGTTATTTCTAATCTATGTTAGAGCCTTGTGAATCAACTATCCTTTTGGAACATTTGCCGTGACGTCTATCTTGTGATAAGCGTCTGCCTCGGCAAATGGTGACGCCGCTTCGGTGGCTCGGCTTACATGTATGTTCAGCTTCAAGAGACACGAAATGTGGGGTCACTATTTTGGCGGGGGTGGTCATGTTGATAAGATTGGTAGCGATAAGATTAAGGCTGTCCAACATTGAATAGCTGTATGGCGCTTCCCATACACCGTAGTGCACAGGCGTTGAAAACAGACGGTAAGGTAGGCTCTAAGAC